TCAGTGAACCTGTGTTTGTTCTTGATCCACAATGTCGTAGATTCTCGTGTTCAAAACAGCGCTTAGATTTCGTGCTCCTCTAGAGATTTTTATCCATACTCGTTATACTTTTTGTTTCTTAGAGATTTTTTATCCTCCAAGTGTGGCTGGCTAAAGTTTTCCCTCGGAAAAATAATTCAATTTGCAAAAATACACAATAACATGAATTATGAGAGCTTAGAGTTCAATGTTTGGTTCATCTTTTCGTTTTTCTGCTAAAGTTTTGCGGGTGGTAGAAAATACCGAGTTCAAAGAGAAAGGTTTGTTTTTTTCCCCGTCTTTCTCCGCAGTTTTATCTCCCTAAAATCAGTTCTATGCAGTCTGAGCGAAGTTCGGTAATGTTTGCTTAGGATCAACAAAGTCGCACATTCTGTTGTTGAACGGACCGATATGCAGATTGACTTCTGCTCAACTTTTGTTGGTTCTGTCACCGACTAAAGATTGTTTTTTTTTTTCAAACTTTCTTTGCGCAGTGAACGAAGTTACTGAACCGGCCCAATTGGTTTGATGATCAAAGTTTCTTGCTCTATTGTCACAGAACTCAGTTTCTCTAAAACTATAAGTGCAAAAAGGGTATAAACGTATAGTCAAAAATCAAGTCATCTGTTGAAGACTTAGTTCACACACAAAACACTTAAGTACATTACAGAACTTAAACGATAATGATCTCCAAAAACGTCGTTTTCTAAATAAAAACTCATTCCGTTTCTTGAGAACATTCATTTTGATTATCGAGGTGTACTTTTCTTCCCGACTGCGATGGTGAAAAACGAACGGTCATCAGCTCGCCGTTCATGAAGCAAGGTTGTTTCCCTGCGTACCCGTTCAGAATTTTGGAAACCAACCAAGCGTTCGAAACCCCTGAACGTGATGGAGAAAAAGCCTTCTTGCAATACCAAAGGACCAAAAACTGAACACTATCATAATCCTTGTACTCCAAACACTTTCTCAATAAAACCTTTTTAACTGTTGTTCTTGCTTTTTTTTCTTGGGATCAGAATATTTTTTTCAGGTTTTGGTCTCTTAATGTCGGTTCATGAATATTAATTTTTTCTCCTTTTGGGCCCCTGATTTTTAATTTATACGAACATAACGCATTTCCCACCCCCTTTCCGCTGACCGGTTGATCGCGGGCTCAGGAAAATGTGTCTATAAGTGATCATATAGTAGTTCCCGCTCAAAGTCTTCGATGTACTAACATAATAAATGAGTGCTAGTTTTGTATTGGCAAAAAAAATCTTTTATATCTTTATTAGCAATCTAAAAAAAGATGTCGATTCATATTATAAAGTTCTATTTCGAGCAGCTTTAGCTTCTTGTCGCACTTAGCGTGACGAAGGCTCCCGCTCAATTAAGGTCTTCGATGCACTAAATGAGCGGGAGTTTTAAAATGTACAAAAACAAATCCCAAAAATACTATCTAAGAATTACAAAATCTTTTATAACTTTATTAGCAATCTAAAAAAAGATGTCGATTCAATATTGTAACGTTCTATTTCGAGCAGCTTTAGTTTCTTGCCANTACTAAAATATTAAATTTTACAATAATAATGATAACGATTAAAATTTATAAATATAACTATGCATTAATTAATTTGTAAAAATTATATATTATTATAATTATACTGTATATTATAATTATACTGTATTATTGTTATTATTATTATTATTATATTCTTTACTATGAGTTATTGCTTTATTGTAAATTCTTTGAATTTTAAACTTAAGATGAATTCAATAGGCTATTATCATTGTCACTGATTAAAACTTACTTTTTTGTATTTCAGTCTGTTGTGTCACCTGACGGTATGATTTGTCATCTTTTTGGCCCAATTGAAGGCAGGAGACATGATTTATGGGTCATTTGAATTTGACAGTTTTGGTGGTACATTTTGACAGTTTTGTAAACAATTAAAGGAATCATAAGCTTAATGTTCATAATGATTACCCATTCAACTTCTCAAATTCTTTGCTTATCTTTGCTCAGTGTATTTGTTGACAGTTTGTATTAAAGAGTTTATTGAAGAATAAAGAGTAAAAATCTGAACATTCAAATAATATCAAGGCTCTCTTTTCAAAATGCATAGTTTTATACTTAAATTAAAACATCCGAGTAGTTTTATGTCAAATAAGATTATTGTGGATAGAATGTACACACAATTCACACATATTTTCATTGTCAACAAGCTCATTTAATTGAGAAGTTTTGAAGTGTATCAGGTAAAGATTTTCAAATTCAAAAGCAAATTTAAACCAGATTAAAACTGCCTAAGGTTCTTGAAGTAGAAGAATTGATATAATTTGAGCACCAAAAACCGCTTGCACATAATCTAACATACCGTCATTTGTTTAATATCGCCACGGTATCGTCGGAGAATATGTCAGTTCTCCTATGAGAAATTCTCCCTCAATAATCGTTGTCTTTGGCGTTCACTTGTTTCTCGATTTGCTTGAGTCTTTATAAGCTTAATTGTTTCGTCTATCACGTTTTCTCTCCCTTTCMAGCCTGCGTTGTTCTTCACTTAGACTTCTTCGACGCTCTCTTTTTCTTCTTGTCTGTTCTTCTTCAGATAAAGATCGCTTTCCGTTAGCTACCCGTTGATTTTCCGACATTTGGCGCAGAAGTAAAGTTTATATACATACTGAGATTTTCTCACATATATTTCTATTTGAAAATCCGTTTCAAAATATTAACTAGCCAATCATAGGAGCGAAACGAATTTTTCACACGTGCGAAAAGCGTTTCGTCCAATCAGGAAAGACTTGTGAAAACGTACCACGGAATTCAATCAACAACTTCAATTTATGTAGAGAAAAAGTATTTTAGAGAGTGAATTGACAACTAATATTTTCAGGAGAAAAACAAAAATTCAACAGCTAAAACGGTGAGTGATGAAAAGCTACTCGATGAATTTCCGCCGAGAGGAAAAAAGGTGTTAAGCAAAGAAATCCAATTCCAAGAGACCGAAAGCAAATAACTGAACGAATACATCTCTGACATCTCTGCGACTTCAATATGATTGTGAAGCCTAAAGACATTGAAAGTTTCTGAACCAGCAGGTCCTTAAGATATATTTTCAAGTTTTAATCAACATCTAAAAGAATTAATGCAAATATTCCACCAGTATATTCCCCAAGACACAGCGAAAACTCACTCAGTTCCAGCACAATTTCGATGTTTGAAACTGAAACCCGCGCTTGTCAAGTCAACCACCGTCGCCAACATTAGAACTGTTCAAAGAAGCTGTATTTTATATGGCAAATTTCTCAGTATTAGATATAAGCCCTTATAGATGTACTTCATCTTCAACAGAAGTATAGAAAACAGAACACTATTATATGGATAAAACGCGTCCATAAAAGTTGATTCGCTACGACGGCGATAGAAAGTAAGCTTAAACACTAGTTTCATTGACTTTCCTCTAATGTAGCTTTTCGTTATTTTTATCATATTCAGTGAATGAAAATTAACTATAAACTA